TGATCCAGTCCTTTAACATATTTAAAACTTCAAAAAAGAACCTCAAATTAGAAATGGTGGCAGAATAGTGTGGAGTGGATCAGTAAGGTTTCTGATACAGTGCAGAGTAGTAGTACCAATGTTTTCACTACTAGTCACAGATGACTGGCCAGTATACAACAAACCTTGGTGTAGGTGGTGGGTATCAGCTACATTCCCCTGACTGCCAAGGGCAAACCAGAATCTTCCAATGTTCTTAAAACATTGGACAAATTCAGAAACAATCTCCTTGCTTGCACACTGGGACCAAGTTTCAGGGATTATTAGAATACTTCAGGTCCTGCAGAGTCCTCTAAAGTTCTTACGTCGTTATGACAGGTGCCAGCAAAGCTCCGTGCCTGCATGCACTTGGTGCATGGATCACAATTTGCCAACGTCCTGCAGGCCAGCCAGAGTCCTCCGAACTTTTAATGATTTATAAGTACCGAGCAATTTTCTAATGGTTGTTGTCATTTCTTTTTCTTATCTGAGAGATAATTCTAAAATTATTTCCTCCATAGCCTGATGGATATATTTCTTTATTTCAGTTGCTAACATCTCAAAAATTTCAGATGTGTGACTTCCCTGTTCTTCTATGACCTTGTCTGCTCAAATTGTTTTAGGTAGGCTAGAGGTCTGAGATGACCTTTTCTTCCTTCCTTTCAATGTTCTCTTTTACTCTGCAATGATTTTTCAGGAAACAAGGGGCCAATGACCAAGGCTGTCAGGAAAGTGGGAGGGCAGGGTATGTTGAGCAAACTCATGCTGTGTGGGGTTCAGTGTGGCTTCCACTTCAATGGAGCACAAGAGTGTGAGCCACAACGCAAAAATGATCTGATGATGATGAGGGTATGCACAAGGTTTAAAGGCTCTCTAATGTTGTTGGGCCACAGGGTAGGGCTCTCCAGGGCTTTCACAGGCTGCCACAGTAGTCTTTTGGTTAACATTGTTTAGTGGGGATTCAGACAAGTCCCAGAAAGAGTAGATAAGAACCCACCAGTTCCCTCAGCCATCTTTAGGGTGAGGATGGCAGCCCAGGCTCTACCAAACTCCAGAAAGGGGGTTGACAAGGTCCAGCATATCCATGTGGCCATCTTCCAAGGGACAATGACTGGCCAGGGCTCAGTTGGGATCCAGCAAGGATTTTGAAGAAATTTTCAAAAATAGAGTTTTTCATAAAACTGTAGTTATTATATTATACACTACATATTTCGGACTGGGGAGAAGCTCAGCAGGATAAGTGGTTGCTTGGCAAATGCAAGGTACTGAGTTCAATCCCAAGTATCACAAAAAAAAAGTTTTGAAGTTATTCCTCTACTCTAAGAGGAGTTATCAATACTTATAGCTCCAAACCACCAAATCCCTTTCATTATTGCTCTGTTCATTGTGACCTCAACCTTTTTGTGGGCAATATTTTGAAAAACTTAACCATGAGGGTACTCTACCCTTGAACTACTATGGGTATTTTTTTTAATTTTTATTTGTGTGTGTGTGTGTGTGTGTGTGTGTGTGTGTATCCAGCTCAGTCCAGGGGGGGCGGGGCTGGCTGGCATGTGGTGCTGGGGGATTGAACCGCGGTCCCTGTGCTTTGCTAAGCTTGTTCTAAGTAGGTGCTTTAGACCACTGAGCCATCTCAACAGCCCCTACTATGGGTATTTTTAGACCACTGTAATCTAGGTGTATTTATTTAGCTGTTAATGTATCTCTTGGGAATTTTGAAGATTTTAATTCACGGTGACTTTGGACATTTTCAATAAAGAATTTCTAAGTTATTTTCTACTAAATACATAAAGCATTGAAATTTCAGTTCAGGAATTACTGGTAGTGGACAACAGTAATACTGAGGAATACGCCTGTAAATTAGCCAGGTAGACCACCAAAGATCAATGAAGGAAAGAGCTCATGTTCACAGACTTCATCCAAAGCAGGTACATTCAGTTGGAAGCCACCATAAAGAAGGGAATAAGCATCATACATCAAGCCAGAAAATCTTGCATATCATGTGAGGCACAAGAAATGCAGCACAATTCAATATGGTTCCTTGTTTATTCAGTAAGGAAATCATTTTGGCAGAGATATAGGTTGAGACTACACCTGACTGTGTAGTTCAGGCTGGTATTGATCTAACTGTTGCACGCTGGCTGGCCTTCTACCTCTCGTGATCCTTCTGGCTCAGCCTCTGAAACTCTGGGATTACAGATGTTCTACACTATGTTCAGCTATCATTGAGTAATGTAGGAATAGGTAATCATCATCTCCATCAGGGAATACAAAATTTTGGCACCACAGAGCTCATTTAGTACTAAAACGACAGAGAAATACCAGACCACTAAATGTACCCAAAAAAATTCACGTACAGCCTATTCCCAGGGCCTGTACTTGTGCAGGAGCTGGGGAATATAGGCTTCAATGTTAACTCCCTCTGAAGATAGGTAAAGGACATAGAAGTCAGAAGAGGTCATGTATCAGAAGTCACAGCAAAGAGCTGGCCCCAGGGAGCATGTGACCAAACATTAGTGCTCCTTTTGGGCACTGTTTCCAAAATGTACATCCTCCAGCATCTTGTGGCTTTCACTTTCTCTCACACATGGCAATGAAAATAGAATCTTTCATTTGGACCCAAGAACTCAGTCTGATACTTCTTAGAAGGCTACAGGCATTCCCTCCATGTAAACTTACAACAGAAGCAATTTCTACTAATTCTAATCAGGTTGAGAGCAGGAAAGTCTTTTTCTTCCTGCACCATAGACTACCCAATTTGTTTTATCTGTCTGTATCCACTGCCATCTCAAGAGAAGACATGGACAACAATGAATAGAAAAGAAGTGAGCTGATACTTGTTTAGTTGGACCCTTGAGATATTTAACTATGTTAGCAAATTTAGAGAAGCTGAACACATACACTTACTGTAAAATTTTTAACCTTCAGAGAACGTTCAAACATAAGCAGTCTGTGTGATTGGGAAGCTACAGTTCGGAACACCTAAGGTAAGAACTTTGTTCTTTCAGGCTAATGCATAGCCTTTATTTGAATAAAAAAATAAAGTTCAAAGCCAAATTTAAGAAAATCCACTAATCCTTGTCTACTAGCTTCTCTGGTATATTAGTGTCAAATAAAACACTTTTTTTCCATTTTGTTTTTTGAAATGAAGAACAAACCAATTAGGACTGAAACATTGTAAAGTAGCCTACAATTTAGTATCTCCTTCTGAGAGGAATCTCAAAACCTGTCACTACAAGCTGTGTATTGTGCTAGGATCTGACAAAGGGTACTGGTTCCTCTCACAGGGTCAGTGCCTAAAGTGCCATATAAGAAATGATGGTACACTTGTAGCATTTTCTCATAGCTTTGAACTGCTAAAGGAAAATGGCTTCCAAAAAAACCCATGGAATCCAATGAAATGTTAAAGTCTATGTGCTATGATATGCATAAAACATTTATAAAAAACTGTTTCATTTTTGTCTTCATGCTCTGAGTTCCCTTTCTTTGTCCTATTCCCTTCACCCTGATACAGGAACCTGACAGTTTTAGGACATTGGCTTTGTAGGTTTTGCAATGGTAATAGATATTTTTGGACAGTGGAACATTGGGTCAGCACCTACAGATAAGGCTGTGGGAAAGATCAATTTGATTCTCCCTCTATACAGCCAAGCTGACATTGAAGTGATATCAGCAGCTACCTGGAGTGGAGACTAAATATATGCAGGGTTCAAGGTTGGAGTCACAGTTTCAAAGAATCTGGAATAACTGTATAAAGCCAAATCTCCACTGACAGCACACGTGTGTAAATAGAAATGCCACCTGGAAGGCTCCAGGTTAGGTTCTAAATTGCTTCCTCATACTTACTGCTTGTTTTAAAGGGGAGGATGTGGTCAATATTCAGGAATATGTTGTTTATAGTGGTTACCTCATGTCAGGCATAACAGACACTAGGTGTTTCTAGAAACAGAGCTCTTCCTTTCCATCTGAAAAGTACTTCTGTCCAGCACAAATGTTCTCAAATTCCAGAAAGTGAACATCTGGATCCCAGACAGAAAGTACAGTGTTGTTTGTCCTGATTAAAACATACCATTTGTGTTCTTTTTTGCTTTCTATAATTTCTCTCAAATAAACATTCATATTTTTCTGTATAGCTTGCTATTTCACATTTCTAAGACATTCTAGAATCACAACATGGCATCGTGTTTAACAATGGGTTTGCAAGGTTAGAAGGGTGATTCTTAAAGCAACACACTAAACACAACATCCCATAATTTCAGACATGCCAGAATGCTTGTATCTCTTATTCAAGGAGAGTTTTGGAAAGGCCAAGTGATGGAAGGCAGACAAGCTGCAGTTCTTCTAATTAGGCTTGTCATTAGCCTTGAATGCTGCCCATAAACGTAGACGTAGGGTAAATGGAAAAAGAGAAATAGAATTGCTGTATTTAAGTCTTAGCTCTATGCCAGTTTACTTTGCTTATTTTGTTTTTGGTCTGGGAATTGAAATCAGGGCTTCATACTTTGCTTGCACACGCTGTTCCACTGTACTATATCCCTAGCCCCTGTGCTGGTTTAAATTTTCCTATTCAAAACAAATCGATATAAATTTCAACTGGATATTTCAAATATCATTTCAACATTGTGCTGCAGTTACAAATAAAATAAAGATATGTCAGAGTATTTTTTCATAGAGTGCTGGTTTAATCTCTCGCAAATTGTACTTTTTTAGATTTTGTGTCTTCAACAGTATTTTCACGTAGTGATATCTTAACGTCTAGTTGTTATGTTTGTCTCATTTTGCCATTTCGATGAATTTTAATTAAAATGAATTAAGAATCAGGATTTCAGAAATCAAGAGCAAAGTCAATTACTCAAGAATATGATATCATCTCATGGATTCAATATTGTGTATTCTAAGATCTTCTCATGTTACAAAACTAAGGTCTGCTTTAACAACACTGAGAATCCATCTTGTTCTAGGTAACTAAAAATAAACAGAGAATGGAGCTCTGGAACTCCACCTTAGGAAGTGACTTCATCTTGCTTGGGATCCTGAGTGACAGTGAGTCTCCTGAGCTGCTCTTTGCCACATTCACAACCCTGTACATGTTTGCTCTGATCAGCAATGGCCTGCTGCTCCTGATCATCACAACAGATGTCCGGCTCCATGTACCCATGTACCTCCTGCTTGGGCAGCTCTCACTAATGGACATGCTGCTTACATCAGTTGTCACTCCCCAGGCCCTCATGGATTTTCTGTACAGAGAAAACAGAATATCTTTTGCAGGATGTGCCCTCCAGATGTTCCTGATGCTGATACTTTGTGGTGCAGAGGACTTGCTATTGGCCTTCATGGCCTATGACAGGTATGTGGCCATTTGTCATCCTCTGAACTACACGGTCCTCATGAGGCCAAGTATCTGCTGGTTCATGGTGGCCTCATCCTGGATACTGGCATTTCTGAGTGCTCTGGGATACACGTTGTATACCATGCACTATCCCTTCTGCAAATCCCACAAGATCAGACACTTATTATGTGAGATTTTCTCGTTGCTGAAGCTGGCCTGTGAAGACACCTCCAGATATGAACTCATGGTCTATGTGATGGGGGCAGGCTTCCTGATTCCACCTCTTGTTGCCATTGTTGCCTCCTACACATTAATTCTCTTCACTGTGCTGCAGATGCCATCAAAGGAAGGGAGGAAGAAAGCACTTTACACCTGCTCTTCCCACCTGACTGTGGTAGGGATGTATTATGGTGCAGCTGCAATCATTTATGTCCTACCCAGTTCCTTCCACAATCCCAAACAGGACAACATCACCTCTGCTCTCTACACAATAGTCTCTCCAGCCTTGAACCCTCTCATTTACAGCCTGAGAAATAAGGATGTCATGCGGTCTTTAAGGAGGGTCTTGGGAAAATATATTGTGCACACACACCGTACCCTCTAGGTAAATCTCTAAAATTAATTTCTGGTCAAAGTCAAAAGATTTATGCTATGAATTCAAAACTCATAGTAAAATGAGTATATTGGAAAATGCATCCTTAGTACAGAAATTTAGAAGTGTATAGTTGTTTTTCAAATGCTCTGAATTTTATAGCATATAGATCATACTATTTTAGTCTGCACTGTCTCTAAATATTACCATTTCTCTAGGTAACTACTTTGTGATTTGTCGTGTTATCACAAATGTGGATATGACCCTAGAGCTTTCAGCCCATACTGCACTAACACAAGAACTGGGGAAAGCAATTTCAAATGTGTAGCCCAAGAAAGACTTAGCTCCCATTGGAAAAGGAATGTTCAGCCTTGCGTTCTTTTTAGCTGACCTAATCATATGAAAAATGAGACATACACTGACAATTTTACTATGTCTCAGTTCGTGGGAGTTCATGTGTTCCTTTACGTCATGTTCAATCATTTCTTCTGTTCATTTCTTCTCTTCAAGCATTGCTGTTATGGATGTGCTAGCATCCCTGTCTCCGTGTGTGTGTGTGTGTGTGTGTGTGTGTGTGTGTGTGTTTGGGGGGGGTGTTGCGTTTGTCTGTTTGTCTGTCTGGGTTTTGTAAAACTATTTCCAACAGGATCTCACTACATGGTTCCAACTCATAGTGATACTCCTATTTTGGGCCTCCCCACCCCTGGTTACAGGTGTGCACCACCGCACCTGTACTCAGTCAATGGCTCAACGTGCCTGAAGGCAGGCCCAGTGCAGCATGTGGTCCTGGGGGTCGAATCACTGTCCCTATTCTTGCTGTTTTTATTTCAATGGTAAAATTTTCTAGTGGTTAAGATTCTAAAGAAATTAATAAAATACTTATTGCAAATTAAGATTTCATAAGCAAGGTCCATGGTAAAATAATTAAAGTAAACAGAACCAAACAGTTGTTTCTCCACTTTTCTAAGCATGTCTGGAAATGTTTCAATAATTGCTAAGGGCTTATGTCTTTGTCACCTGTACCTGATTTAAACACATACAATATATCATCTACACACAATAGCATCTAGTAGTACTCTATTAATATGTTTAACTTTCATTTATTTATGTATCAGTAAAACTAATTTTTTAGTGTTGGAAGAATTACTTCATCCTCTTGGAAATATAAATATGCTGCAGTTACAAGTTTATATTAAACTCTCTTTAGGACAAAACCCATATAAAAAGCTGTGAGTTACATTTTGAAGCTCAAAGATAAAATGATTGCTCATGTATGACACGATTTTGAGGAATATTGCTGTTGTTAGAAATTAGCTAAGTGACTTTGTGTTCTTGTCCAAACATAATCTAGCACTCTATCTGCTTAATTTATAACAGTATTGGAAGTTATTTTTCAGTTTTATCTCATCAAGATGGAAAAAATTCAAAGGTTATGGAAAAAGAGATGGGGCATCAGGAAAGGTACAGAGGAATCTGACCACTACATACTGAGGTACATGTAGAAAGGAGACAGAAACCCTGGTGTGCTATTGTACAGTAGAGTGATCATAGAAAACAAAATATATATGGATTTCAAAATGATAAATCAAAGGATTATAAGAGGTTCCTCCATAAAGGAATGATGAAAATCTGAGATCAATATGATCATCCTGAATATTATGCTATATAAATATACTAAATCATTGCATGGTATTGCATTAATATGTATAGTTTTTATGATTTATTTATCAATTAAAAACAAATTGCTTCACATTAGTTAAAGTGAATGTCCTGTAAGTAGGCAAAATGATTGTAAAATTTCTTAATTCTATACATATTTAGATGAATTTTATTTTATTTTTAATACAGCCACACATTTTACTGGTTTGAGATGTTCACGGGAATGGATCTTTTTGAACTTAGAGATATTTTTCCTGTATTGCATGGAGGTAGTATAGAACACTTTGGATCAGTTGTCCTAGTTCAAAGGTTAGAATTCAGTCAGCCCACCTGCTTGTATAAATTTGATCATGGTATCTGCACAAGTTGACCTGAGTTCAGAGTATAATAAGATGTAAGTTGACAGTAATAAAAGAGTTATTTCCTATTTATGTTATGAAAATTAAGTTAAACTTAGGAAGTATGATTTGGCATATAACTCTGACTATACAAATCCTAACTCTTTAATGATGAAATAATTCTGAAAATACTTAGTGATATTATAATATTACATACACGGATGTTCTGTACTATAGCTAAGTCATCACTGTTAAATATTTATGCTTATGTGTGCATCTGTATGCATAATATAACTATAATGTGCATCTCTTGGGTGTGTGATTGATTTTATTTTCAACAATTGATATTTTTATACCACAAATGAAATGTTACTACATTACTACATTATGCAAACTGGGCTTAGTGTAACATGCCTCCGTCATGGCACTAGGGAAGCTCAGACAGAAGGACTGTGAGTTTAAGGCTGTCTTGGGCTATGTAGTGTCTTCAAGGGAAACTTCACTACTTAGCAAAATCTTGTCTCAAATATAGAAAAACTGGGCCACGGCGATACCTCCTGAGGATAAGCCCTTGCCTGGCAAGCACAAGGTCCTGACTTCAATCCCTGGTACCAAAAAACAATATGCTAGACACAATAGACTATATATTGCATGTAGTGATTGATTGATTGATTGATTGATTGATTGACTGATTGTGTCAACTTGAGAAGTTTAGAAGTTTAAATAAATCATCTCAGTTATTCTACATCCTAAGTGTAAGTACCCATCCTAGGGTGACTCACCTCTCGAATAATATAAAAGGGAAATGAGGAGAGAAAGATAGCCTTCCATCCTTCAGATGTGCTCCAATCATCACCTTAAGCTTGGACTTCATATCCTAGTTTCTAGCACAGCCTCTTCATCTGCCTTTCAGCATAGACTCATCAGCCTCCAGATATGGACTGGCATGGAACACTGCAGTGAACTTCCGATTCCGGACTGAACCCTTTTGTCTCCTCTGTACACACTCACTCTTCACACTTCCTCATAAACTCTGGCTAACCATCATAAGCCAA